TATGCAACAAAGATAAAGACTAACTCAGAGTAAAGGGCTGGAAAAATGTCTTTCAAGCAAACGGTTCCAGAAAACAAGCAGGAGTAGCCATCCTAATATCTAATAAAATAAACTTTCAACCCAAGTTAATCAAAAAAGATAAGGAGGGCCACTATAGTCTCATCAAAGGAAAAATCCACCAAGAGGACATCACAATTTTGAATATCTATGCCCCAAATACAAGAGCACCTACATTCGTAAATGAAACAATATTAAAGCTTAAATCACATATTGATCCTAATACCTTAATAGTGGGAGACTTCAACACTCCACTCTCACCAAGGGACAGATCAACTAGACAGAAAAGAAATAGGGAAATAAAAACAGTTATAGAGTCCCTAAATCAAATGGACCTAATAGACGTCTACAGATCTTTTCATTCAAACTCAAAAGAGTATACATTCTTTTCAGCACAGCATGGAATCTTCTCCAAAATAGACCATATAGTTGGTCATAAAGCAAGCCTCCAAAGATACAAAAAAGTTGAAATAATCCCTTGTATTCTATCTGACCACTATGGACTAAAGCTGGACATCAACAACAACAGAAATAACAAAAAGCTGACATGCAGGTGGAAACTGAACAACTTGTTACTCAATGGCAGCTGGGTTAAGGAAGAAATAAAGAAAGAAATTAAAGACTTCCTAGAATTCAATGAAAATGAAGGCACAACATACCCAAATTTATGGGACACATTAAAAGCAGTGCTCAGAGGAAAATTTATAGCACTAAGTGCCTTCAAGAAGAAATTTCTAACATCACATACAAGCACCTTAATGGTCCAACTGAAAACCCTAGAAAAAAAAAAAAGAAGCAGATACACCCAAGAGGAGCAGATGGCTGGAAATAATCAAACTCAGGGCTGAAATCAAACAATTAGAAACAAATAAAACTATTCAAAAAAATCAATGAAACAAAAAGCTGGTACTTTGAGAAAATCAACAAGATAGAAAAACCCTTAGCCAAACTAACTAAAAGACAGAGAGAATCTATTCAAATCAGCAAAATCAGAAATGAAAAAGGTGACATAACTACAGACATTGAGGAAATTCAAACAATCATTAGGTCATATTAAATAAGCCTATATGCCACAAAATTTGAAAACCTAAATGAAATGGACAATTTTCTTCATAGATTCTATCTTCCAACATCAAGTCAAGATCAGGTAGAAATACTGAATAGCCCTATATCCCCCAAGGAAATTGAAGCAGTCATTCACAGTCTCCCCTCCAAAAAAAAGCCCTGGGCCAGATGGTTTCAGCACAGAATTCTACCAGACCTTCAAAGAAGTGCTAATACCAATTCTCCTCAAACTATTCCACAAAATAGAAACAAAAGGGACATTACCAAACTCATTCTATGAAGCAACAGTCACCCTGATACTTAAACCACACAAAGACCCAACAAAAAAAGATTACTTCAGACCTATCTCTCTTATGAACATTGATGCAAAAATACTCAATAAAATACTTGCAAACCGAATCCAAGAACACATCAAAGATATCATCCACCATGACCAAGTAGGTTTTATCCCAGGCATGCAAGGGTGGTTCAACATACGGAAATCCATCAATATAATCCACCACATTAACAAACTGAAGGAGAAAAACCATGTGACCATCTCCTTAGATGCTGAAAAAGCATTTGACAAAGTCCAACACCCATTCATGTTTAATATCTTGTAGAGATCAGGGATACAAGGCATATATCTAAACATAGTAAAGGCAATATACAGCAAGCATATAGCCAACATCAAACTCAATGGAGAGAAACTTAAATCAATCCCACTGAAATCAGGGACAAGACAAGGCTGCCTACTCTCTCCGTACCTCTTCAACATAGTACTTGAATTCCTAGCCAGAGCAATAAGACTACTAAAGAAGATCAAGGAGATACACATATCAGAAAGGAAGAGGTCAAAGTGTCACTATTTGCAGATGATATGAAAGTATGCATGAGCGATCCCAAAAATTCAACCAGAGAACTCCTCCAGCTGATAAACACCTTCAGCAAAGTGGCAGGATACAAAATCAACCCAAAAAAAAATCAGAAGTCCTCCTGTATACCAAAGACAAAAGGGCTGAGAAAGAAATTAGGGAAACAATACCCTTCACAATAGCCACTAATAGCATAAAGTACCTTGGGGTGACACTAACCATGCAAGTGAAAGACCTATTTGAGAAAAACTTCAAGTCTCTGAAGAAAGAAATTAAAGATCTCAGAAGATGGAAAGTTCTCCCGTGCTCATAGATTCATAGGATTAACATTGTGAAAATGGCTACCCTGCCAAAAACGATCTACAGATTCAATGCAATTCCCATCAAAATACCAACTCAGTTCTTTACAGACCTTGAAAAAAAGATTCTCAGCTTCATATGGAGAAACAAAAAACCCAGAATCTCCAAAACAATCCTGTACAACAACAGATCATCTGGAGGTATCTCCATCCCCGATCTCAAGTTGTACTACAGAGCAATAGTAATAAAAACTGCATGATATTGGCATAAAAACAGAAAGGAGGATCAATGGAACTGAATAGAAGACCCAGAAATAAACCCAAACACCTATGAATACTCGATTTTTGACAAAGAACCCAAAACCATCCAATGGAAAAAAGACAGCATCTTCAAAAAATGTTGCTGGTCCAACTGGATGTCTACATGCAGAAAAATGAAAATAGATTCATATTTATCACCCTGCACAACACTAAAGTCCAAGTGGATCAAAGACCTCAACATAAAACCAGATACTCTAAATCTGTTAGAAGAAAAAGTGGGGAACAGCCTAGAACTCATTGGCATAGGAAACAACTTCCTGAACAGAACACCAACAGCACAGGCTCTAAGAGCAAAAATCAATAAATGGGACCTCATGAAACTGAAAAGCTTCTGTAAAACAAAGGACACCGTCATCAAAAAAAAAATGACTGCCTACAGAATGGGAAAGAATCTTCAGTAACCCTTTATCTGACAGAGGACTAATATCCAGTATATATAAAAAACTAAAGAAGCTGAAAAGCATCAAACCAAGTAATCCAATTAAAAAAATGGAGAACAGAACTAAACAAAGAATTCTCGACAGAGGAATATCGAATGTCAGAGAAACACTTAAAGAAATGCTCAACCTCATTAGCCATCAGGGAAATGCAAATCAAAACGACCCTGAGATTTTACCTTACATGCATCAGAATGGCCAAGATGAAAATCTCAAGTGACAACACATGCTGGAGAGGTTTTGGAGAAAGGTGAACCCTCCTCCACTTCTGGTGGAAATGTAAACTGGTATAACCACTCTGGAAATCTATCTGGTGCTTTCTAAGACAATTAGGTATAGTGCTTCCTCACGACCCAGCTATACTACTGCTAGGTATATACCCAAAGTTTGCTCAAGTACACAAAAGGGATACTTGCTCAACCATGTTTATGGCACCTTTATTTGTAATAGCCAGAACCTGGAAAACACCCATATGTCCATCAACGGAGGAATGGGTACAGAAATTGTGGTATTTTTACACAATGGAATACTACTCAGCAATCAAAAAGGAGGAAATCATGAATTTTGCAGGCAAATGGTGGGATCTAGAAAAGAAAATTCTGAGTGAAATATCCCAGAAGTAGAAAGACAAACACGGTATATACTCACTTATATAGACCTAAAAGATATGGCAAACATAATGAAATCTATATACCTAAAAAAGATAATCAAGACAGCAGACATGGGGTAAGATGATCAATCCTCGTTTAGAAAGACAGATGGGATGTGTATTGTATGTATGTCAGGAGTCTACTGAGCGCATCTGAAAGACTCTAACTAGCAGTGTTTTCAAAGCAGATACAAAGACTCATGACCAAACCTTTGGCAGAGTACAGGAAATCATATGAAAGAAGGGGAGTTAGTATGATGGGGAAAGGATGGGAGCTCCACAAGGATCAAATATACCTGGGCATAGGTCTTTTCAGAGACTGACATTCAACCAAGGACCATGTATGGATATAACCTAGAACCTCTGCTCAGATGTAGCTTGTGGTAGCTCAGTAACCAATTGGTTTCCCACAGTGAGGGGAACAAAGACTATTTCTAACAGGAACTCAATGACTGGCTCTGTGGCCTCCCCACCCCCCCAAGGGAGGAGCAGTCCTGTTAGGCCACAGAGGAGGGCTTTGCAGCCAGTCCTGAAGATACCTGATAAAACAGGATTGGATGAATGGGGAGGAGGTCCCCCCCTATCAGTGGACTTGGAAAGGGGCACAGTGGAGATGAAGGAGGGAGGGTGGGTTTCGGAGGGAATGAGAGAGCAGAACACAGCTGGGGTACAGAGTTAATAAAATGTAACTGATAAGAAAAAAAAAGCTTACTTTAAAACTTGTTCTTTAGATTTGAGTACACATAATATGTGCCATTTATAAAAATTAAAATTTTATGAACTACTTTTACTTGCAAAAAATGTCAATGTGATGAATTAAACAAAAAAGAAATGTGAATCATTTGGGGATAACAACAACAAAAAAGGCACAGAGTTTAGAAGGAAACATTGGAAAAGTTTAAAGTTCTAGTCTCAGTAGCTGAAGAGATGAATTACTGGTTCAAATTTAACCATTGAGGAACAAAGATCTTCTGCAAGTAGAGAGTGGGTAGTCAGTTATTGAAATCATGACCAGTGTTGAGCTGATTTAGAAAATGTTAAAACATGTATTTTGTTATGTTCAGTTTTGTTTTCCTTTATTTCACACTTGAGAGAGAACTAATTGGTCAATTATTAGGTTTAAAGACCACAACATATCTTATTTAGCTGTTTACAGATTATTGCTAATATATACTACTCTATTTTCAAACATTTAGTGATTAGCAATAAAAGTGTTGTACTTGCAGATGATACTAACTGCATGAATTCCACTTATCTACACACTTTTTATTTTGAAACTCATTAAATCAGCTTCATCTGAGAACATAACTAATCATACCTGAGTACAGTAGAAGTTAATGCAAGCTTTATGTCCCTTTCTCCCAAGTCCTGATGGGTGAAAGTAAACAGGCAGCTCTATGGTAGAGTGAGGTAGGAGGACCAACTGAAAATTCAGAAAAGAAAATCACAAGCAAAACAGAATAAATACTTTTGTTGAGGTTGAATTTTTATGTGCTATGTCTGCAAAAGGCTAGTGTGCAAACATTAGATTTTAGGAGGAGCACACATTATTTGATTTTGTATAGCTGCTCTTCAAATCTTAATTATAGGGATGTGAAGAACACTGTTTGCTATGTTAGTTCTCAGACCATATTCTTTCTCCAGATAATGATCAAGCAAGATTTACTCATATTATTATGTCAGGATTAATCTTAAGAGTTGATTTAAGCAAGGTGGTGGCGCCAACCATGCGGGGTATCTGAACAGCAGCTCAGCAGTGAGAGCAGGGTGATTGGCAGGCCATACTGTGAACCCCCAAACACTGACATCTGTGTTTTTCAGGTGAGTGGGGAATCCATGGGGACACTTGAAAGTCCATCTTCAGGCCACTCTGCTAATACTGGGAAAAATTCCCAGGCTCCTGCCTGGCACTGCCTCAGTCTTAGGCTACCCAGTCAATCCCACTATCTGCTGATATGTTCCTGAGACCGGTTGCAGCTGAAGCTCTCTAGGCTCTGACCATGCAGCCGTAGGCCACTTGCCCAAACTCATCATCTGTGGATATATTTCTGGGACTGGGAGCAGCTGCACAAGTGGGGGAAGGGAGGAAGTCTCCTAACCTGCAGCCAGAAACCATCTGCCAGAACCCATTGGGACCAGCAGCATTAGCAACTGGCTCCACTCTGATCTCCCAGCCTTAGGCCAACCATCAGAACCCACCATCAGTGGATACTTACCTGGGACCTGCAGCATACACACGGGGCTCCTGCCCTACAGCCTTCTGCCATCCACCCACCCAAAAACACCATCTGTGAATACCTTCCAAGACAGGGCAGCTGAGGGGCACTCACGGTTCTGGCCCTGCAGCTTTGGCCACCCATCATCCAAGGCCACTTTCTGGGGATATCTTCCTGGTACCAGACCCAGGCAGCTCTTACCATGGGCATTCACTCTCACTGACTGTGGAATGAGTATCTTCCTGTGCTGTGCGTGAGACTCCAAACTTAGGCGCCCACTCTCACAGTCCTGTGAGCACCTTCTGGGCCCTAGGGGCTCCTATTTCCAAAACCGGTGTACCACACTCTACATCCTGTGGACACCTTCCTGGTCACAGTGGTTAGTGGTGTTTACTCTCACCAACCAGTGGAGGGGATACATTCTGGCAGTATAGAGGAGGTGTGGCTACAGTTTGCTTACTCCCCTCCTGCCTGGTTCGCCCAGGTCAGAATCAGCTAACACAGCACAGAGAGTGAACACAGCAGAGCTGTGCTAAGCTTGGGTTCCAGGTTCAGTTCCCAAAAATCTAAGGGAATTCTGCCTGTTGAACACTGTAGCAGCTACAGGCAAAGAGATCTGCCCACAAGTGCCCCAGCAGCCTGGTTCACATAGACTGGAATTAGCCAGCTCAGCAGAGCCAAAGAACCAAGTGGATCTGAGCTAGGCACCTAACCCACATTCCATTGTCCTCCTACTCAAGGAAGTTATTGGGGCATTGGTGCAGCTCTAGGTTCAGAGGTCTTTCTGCCTGCTCCCCAGAAGCTTAACTCATCTGGGTCAGAAACAACACTGCCAGCAGAGCCAGTGAAACTAGCAAATCTGTACCAGTGCACCAGCAGATCTTCCTTCTTAAGGAAGCCTGTGGGAGCAACTCTAGACCCAGAGATCTTTCCAACTTTGCCCCAGCTACCTGGGTCATAAACAGTGAGCAAGCATAGACAGTGAATCCAGCGGAGACTACTGCAGATTCAAGAGACAAGTGGATCCAGTGTGAAGTATAGGGTCCAGGAATAATCAGTCAAGTCTTACAGACAACCAGATGGCTAGAGGCCAGTGTAAGAATACAAGCAAGAAAAACCAGGACATCTTGGCTTCAGCAGATTCTACTAAAATCAATGGATATTCTACTGAAGATTAAACAAAATAAAATTATCTTAAATCTATAATTATGCAGTTATTTGAGGTACATAAACAGGAAATGAAAAAAAAGAGGTTATCATGGACAGATAGGGTTCCACATTGAAACAGATGAAGGAAATAGTGCAAGATATGAAATCAGAATTAGAATCAATAAAGAAAACACAAGCAGAGTAAACCCTGGAGCTAAATAACTTAGAGAAAATATCAAGAACCACAAAGATAAGCATCACCAATAGAATACAAGAGATGGAACAGAAAATCTCTGGCATTGAAGATACAATTGCAGAAACTGACATATCTCACAAAGAAAGAATAAAATCAGAAAAGTTATAAATAGAAAACATCCAAGAAATCAAGAACACCATTAAAAGACGAAACCTAAAAGTAATAGGAATAAACAAAAAAGAAGATACCAGGCTCCATGGCCCAGAAAATATTTTTGAAGAGATCATGGAAGAAAATTTTCCCAATCTTAAGAAAGAGATGCCCATAAGCAAGAGGCCAACAGAACACCAACTAGACCAGAAAAGAAACTCCTCCTGCCACATAATAATCAAAACACTAAATCTACAGAACAAAGAAAAAATATTAAAAGCAGCAAGAGGGAAAGGGCAAGTAACATATAAACAGAAACTTATCAAAATCACATCAGACTTCTCAACAGAAACTATGAAAGCCAGAAGGGCCTGGACAGACAGCTATCATGCAGCTATCACAGATACCAACCCAGACTACTATATCCAGCAAAACTTAGATGGAGAAAATAAAATACTTTATGACATAACTAAATTTGAACAACATATATGGAGCAGTCCAGTCCTACTGAAGATATTAGAAGGAAAACTTCAAACTAACAAAATCAACTACACCCAAGAAAACACAGGATAAAGATACCATCCCATCAACAAAAACAAGAGAAAACAAACACACAAACATACAATCACCACCAACTCCACAATTAAAGGAACTAACAGTCATTGGTGACTAATATCTATTAACATACATGGTCTAAACGCTCCAATAAAAAGACGCAGACTAACAGATTCGTTGCAGAAACAGGATCCAACCTACTGCTGCATTCAAGAAACACACATCTGCAAGAAAGGTAGACACTACCTCAGAGTAAAGGGCTGGAAAAAAAAGTTTCCCAGGCAAACAGACACAAGAAGCTAGCTGGAGAAGCCATTCTAATATCTAATAAAGTAGATTTTCAATCAAAATTAATCACAAGTGATGGAGAGGGACACTTCATTCTCATCAAAGGAAAAATTTACCAGAAGGACATCACACTCCTGAACATTTATGCACCAAACACAAGGGCTCCTGCATTTGTCAAAGAAACATTATTAAAGCTTAAATCACACTTTGATCCCATCACCTTAATAGGGGTAAACCTCAACACCCCACAATCACCAAAGAATAGATAATTGAGACAGACACTAAACAGAGAACTAATGACACTTAAAGAGGTCTTAAATTGAGATTGGAAGATGGCAGCAGCTAGTGTGCAGATTAGCTGAAGGGCAGAGGACCTGCAACGCTGAAATTGGTGAGTGAAGGGGCTGATCAACCCAGAAAAGAGTTATCTAGACTTCTAAGAAGAGAGACTAACCGTGAACTGAGTCCATCTAGAATCAGGTCATGGCAGATTCCTCCAGGAGGAGACACCCCAGGAGGGGTCCCTAGGCACTTCCCTGCACCCAACAGCCTAACACCCTACTCCCTCTTTTGGAGGAGGCAGGAGGCTTCCAGGAAGAACTGCCACAGACCACATTATCTGTACCCCAGCCCCAGTGAGAGCTGCAGCTCCCACCAAAAAAAAAAAAAAAAAAAAAAAAAAAAACAAGATTCAGGGCTGAGAAAACCCAATCCTTTTGGGCACTCCCCTTGAGAACAAGAATGCCACCATAACCCTGCCCCAGCAGAGCAGAAGGATAGAGAGGCACACAGCGGCTTCAAAACGCCAGGACCCAAGTGCTGCCGGCTGCTCCTAGCAAACAAACTTCAGCCCGGGATCTGGGACAGTGGTCATTCAACACATCTTGACACTCTCCTGGGTCCAGCGCAATAAGGTCTAACACCAAGTCCTAGCACCGGCCACCTCCTGGCCCCTGGAAGAGAAACCCTGGCTCAGGATGGGGACTGAGAAGTCCCAACCCCTCCTGGCACTCCCCTGAGAGCGCCACCATAAGCTTGCCATAGCAGAGGGGAATGTCAGAGGGGAAGGACAGAGAGGCAGTCTGCCACAGGACCCAACACCCCCTCTCCAGCTCACCAAGCGGCCCCTGGCAGAAAAACCTGAGATCTGGATCTGAGGACACTCAGCCATACGTGGTACTCTCACGGAACCGGCAAACATAGGTTCTAGCACCAGGCTGCTTCTGGCAAAGAGATCTGGGCCCGGAATCTGGAATTGAGGACACTCAACGCAACTCTTTCCCATGTTAACCCGGGACCAGCCAACATAATCCTTCCCTGGAGGAGGAAAAGGAAAGAGGCTGCACACAGGACACCGAGTTCTGCTGCTACAGTGCCACAGAGCTGACTGTTAGCCTACCCACGCATTTGCCCCAGCAGGATCAAATCGGAGAGTAGAGAGAAAGGGGAAGCCCTGTGCATTCCAACTGGTCCTGCAAGGGAGTGAGTGAGCCTTCTAGGGAGAGTTTGCCCCAGACCCAGGGCCTCTCTACGCAAGCAACCAGACGAGATCCCTGCCACCCACACCCCTAGTGAGGGTATCATAGGGATTCTTGGGTTAGTGACCCCAATGTTGAAGCCTCTGATTTGTGGGCCCACCAGTGCAATCCAGGGAAAAAATTCCTGGATCTTAGACAGAGCTGCATAATAGTTTGTCCTGTAGGCTACTGCAATCGTCAGAGAATCCGCACATGCACACTGCGCCCACTAAAACCGCATGCAAATAGCGCCAGCATCGCATTCCTTACTTAAGTAAAACTGAAACCACAACACACACTCCCAAACCAGTGAATCTCTCTCTTCTTCCTGCAAAAACAGTCCAGAAAACAG